CTTTTGTCTGAAAACCACATCTATATACAGCACAACCAGTGGCATAGACAAAAAGACATAAAGAACTGGAAGTGGCAGAAATGAAGGTGAAAAGGTTCTTCCTTAGGAGTGACAAGGATGGATAAGATTAGGAATGAGATCATCAGAGAACAACTGGGAGATAAAGGTAGAGACCAGACTGAGATGGTTTGGACATGTCCAGAGGAGGGACAGTGGGTATACTGGTAGAAGGATGTTAGAAATGCAGCTGCTAGGAAAAAGACAAAGATGAGATGTATGGATCCAGTTAGAGAGGACATGGAAGTAGTTGGAGTGAGAGGATGTAGAGGACAGAGTGAGATGGAGGAGGATGACTCTATCCATGATAGCTGACCTTGATCATGAGCCATGATAATTAGGACTTTGGCAAAAGTAGAAAAAAAAAATACAGTAAAATAGCTGCTAAGACTTTTGGTCCTTATATCTCCTCATCAAATTTCTAGTCTGTTGTACAAAAGGTTGAAATAGTTCTGGGGACGAGATTAGCCAAGGTCGACATGCATCAAGTGGCGTGGACCCCAGTATTAACTGCTCACATCTAGTTCTCTTGGTTCTCTTCAGGACATCCATACATTACTTTTTTTTTAGATTTGTCTTTTGGTGAGTGCAACCTTAGTGCAAGTCATCTGCCATGACACAAAATTAATAAAAGTGACAGTTCAGGCACCAATAAGTGTCAACGTAATAAATAAATAGGGTTTTTAACGTCTTGTCTGATTTGGGTGATTAAATATTTGTTGTTGCCACAAAAATGACCAAAATACAATTTACTTTGAGCTGTCGCTGACACTTGCACACAGAGTTGTAAACAAACTGACAAGAAAATGTAATGCTTTCCACCAGCATTGTGTGCAGTAATGTGACAATGTGAATCCTGATAATTCCATACATAAACACTGTTTGCATACAGAATGACACGGACTGTAATTGTTTAGACATTTTCAAGCTCAAAGTGAAGTTATTCTCTTCCAGACTCCCATTTATGTTTCATTTAGAGGAACATTTGAGTAAATTGGTTTAGAGCTCTCATCCAGACAGGGTTTCTAGACATTACAAGGCACTGTGACAATAATAGAGTTAAGTGCACATTATTAGTAAATTATTTTTATTTAAGGCTGAATGAGGAAAACAGATTCTTTTTAAACTGAGCATGCTTCTCTTCCTGTTCGAACAGCAGCAGCAGGATTAGACGGTGGCGTTGTCATGCACGGCTGCAGCGCAAGTCGCCCCCGTTAATAGCCGCCTTGAGATTGAGGGAGGAAGAGAAGGCAGAGACAGCTCATGGAGACTCGAGCTGATTTAGGGCGAACAGGCAAGAGGAAGAAGGAGGAGCCCAGTCAGAGAGCAGGGATTCCCCATAAGTCTGGACCATAACTCTGGCTGACAGAAGCCACTGATGCTAGAGCAGTTCAGGATGAAAGAGCTCCGGCTTTCTCCTCTGCCACAGCCCAGGAGTTACTACTGTCATATTAGGTCATCACATGGGCGGAGCTGATATTTTCTGCAGAAAACCTTTTATAGAAACTGAGTTTTCTTTGAGAAATATGAAAAAATAAAAATAAATGCCAATTTGGCTGGAAGTATGTTGAAACACTTTAAGACCCTTAACATTTGTACAACTTTCTAGATACAATAAGTTGAAGAAAACCACGATCACTTTAGCAATATGATGCTTCTGGTTAGGCCTGTCACGATAACAAATATTGCTGGGCGATTAATTGCTTCAGAAATTATTGCGATAAACGATAAGATTGTTTGAAATTTGACAACAAATTAATGTTTCATGCAGCTGTGTTGGAGTTGGTTTGGGCTTCATAAGTTCAAAATGTTATTTTTGTTGACATTCCAGCTGAACTTTCTAACCCATAGTTCTGGTTTCCCAGTGAAATGAAAATGCAACCAGCATACCATGTTTACAACAGGACTGTGACGTGACTATTTATATGATGTTTTGATGTTCATAACTTTTTATATCTTCAGGCGTGAGCTGAAGAAACATGTAAAGGCAGGAAAGAGAGAGATAAGAGCATCAAACAGGCATATGAAGTGTGAGCAGACTGACTAATAGATTTCTGATCTGCAAATAAGTGCAAGTTATCTACACAAATGTTTTTTTTGAAGGTTATCTACTGGTGATCATGTAAAATCTTTAAAATCGATTAAAACTCAAGTCAGCTTAAGCTTTAATGAGATATTTATAGAACTTGAGCAAAGACACTCTTCGGACAGCAATGAGTCCAAAAGAAATTTACTGAACAAAAAGTATTTTGTACAGTTTCATGTAATGTGTTGTACTGTGTTTGCATTGCATCATTTTTAATAAACCATTGTTTTGTATCAAACTGTATTATAGTTTAAATATAATAATGTAGGTAGTTGGATCAAATTGCGTCCAACTGTCTGACAATTTAAATGACTCACAACCTTTAAATGTTTAATCAAAAGGTTTTTAAATAATCAAAGTGCCGGCTTTTTAAAATTTCACCCATACTAAATGTTAGAAGTTATTTTAACGTGCATTGTGACAATAAAATTGTCTTTTCAAATGGTTTTCCAGCTTTAAGAGCCAAAATGTTCACAAACTGTGTTGAGGAAGGAAAAAAGCTTTTATTTTATTCTTTTTGTTTTGTTTTGCATATTTTTGGAGCTTAACATCTAGCTAAACATCTCATTATGGAAAAAAAAAAATTAAAGTCAAGATCCCAGTCTTTTTTATTTTGTCCTTGCTCTTTATTTTGTCTTTTAATTGCACCACAGAACAAGATGTTTTTGTTAAAGCTCTACACAGCTTGACTCAAATTGCAGCTCTGATGGAGTAACTGAATCAGAAAGCAGCTCATTTGCCTCAGCTCTTATCAAGCGCAGACAGACGATTTCATAACGGTTAACCGTGCATCCTGGTTAAACTGGTCATGGTGACTCTGCAAAGGACAAATTTGCTCAAGCCAAGTGTTTCCATATATGTTGTTAGAGATGGTATTTCTACGATGAAGCTGTTGGTGGAGTGAGATCAATGCATGTTTTCCTCAAGGCGGTGACCATTCCAGCTGGCGGAATGATTTCTGCCATCACAACCTGCAGAAAAATCAATAATTACCCGCCTCCCTTCCTCATAACCACAACACCTGAGAGTATTTTTCACTGCTGATTATCAGGCGAGCAGCGGTCACTGCTGCAGGTCAGGCTCAGGTTAATTACAAACTGAAGGTGATACTGGATAATGATGTTTATATGGAACTTATTTAGAAAACAGAATCCATTTTATTGTAATACCTAACATTGATATTTGTGCCACGCAGTCCAGTGACATGTGAGCACATCAGACTTATTATAAGATGTTGTTAGCAACTTCTTATATCAGGGTTCTGCAAGCTTTTTGATAAAAAAGAGACATTTCTGCTCCTTTGCTCACTAAATAAAATGTGTTCAGAGCTGCTAAACCTGCATCAATTGTGATTATCAACTGGTGGCCCATGAGCCACTTTGAGTTTGTGGTTGTTTTTGCCAATGATGGTGACATCATAATGCTAAAAGTATATAATGAAATTGAACATTTATTGATATTTTGACATTTTAAGAGAATCTATAAGATCATGTTCATGTAAAGAATGAAAAAAATATTGATTTTAACAAAAATGAAACCACTGAGCTCTGCCTGTGTGAGTTCTCTTTTTATTTGTGGAAAATTTAATTATGAAGTCTCCCACGTTGAAACAATACAGCAAAATTTCAAAGTGTGCATAGAATTAGGCCGTTTTGTTTGATATGTAATTGTGACTTGTTGAATTTTTAAATTAAAAGTAAACTTTGCTCTGACTTTAAGTTTAATTTTTCGAACTCTTATTGTTATCAAATCGATTCATCGTATTTCTTCTAAGCAACTCGTCCTAAAGGAATTCCAAAGAATTTCTGGTGGATTTGAGAGAAAGATCCCACTTGTAAGGGTAGAAGTTGGAAAATTAAGCAGCTACATCTAATCATGTGTTGCTCCTTGTTGTACCATCATTCAAACATTTGGAGAAAACTGCCAGAATTTAGTAGTCCCTCATTTATCACGGGGGATATGTACCCTGAAGCTCTGCAATAAGTGAAAAACTGCGAAGTAGGAACAGTAGTACAAGTAGTAAGTAGTAGTTTACCTTAGTGTGTATATATATATATATATATATATATATATATATATATATATATATATACACACACATTTTAAACCCTTTCCACACTCTTGCAACATTCTAAACAATGGTTCTAAGCTCTAAACGGTCTAAAAAAGCACAGAATGTCATGATTTCAGCTCTCTGCCACGGCCGCACTCTTGGCCACGCCCACTTCTCCGCTACAGAACGGAGATTGACAGAGGAAGAAGTAGGAGCTGCAGGAGGAAGTTTCTCCTGCAGTGTGGGCTGCACACAGGTGCAGCAGGTGCGGAATCATCTAAAATCATTTATTTCAAATAAAAATCCCATGCCGATCATGTGGCTCATCCATCTGTCAGCCAATTGTGTGTCATGTCCAATCTTATTTTGAAAAACCACAATAGAGCGAGTCCACGAAAAATGAACCGTGAAGTAGTAAGGGACTACTGTATTATTTATTTAGGTAGAACAAAGCGCAGTAAAAGTTTAAATTCAGCTTGACAGATTTACCTAATTTTAATTTTATTTTATTTTATAATTTTAATTTTGATTCCCATGTTTATCCTGTTGGTTGGAGTAGTATTTTTTTTTTTTTTTTTTCAAATCGATTCAAATCTATTTACTTTCATACTAAAATACAACCTTTTAAAATGTATTAATGTTCATCCAAAGCCATATACGATATCTTATCAAAGTGTTGTTTGACTTTCCAGATATTTCCTGACATTTTTTCTCTCTGTAATTTTAAACTAGTCTTTGTATTAGTTAAACGAGCCATTTCAGATTGCCAAATTGATAATCTACAATTTCACCACTAGATGTCACTGCGTCCGGCACGCTGCACCTTTAAGTTTCTGCTTTTTGCGAGACAAAAAGTGTTTGTATAATACAGCATTTGTATACGCAACTAGAATGAAGATTGAATCAAGCCTGAACAACCCACTCACACAGCATCAAATCCACAACAAACAGAACTATCATAGAATTTTAAAAAACATTTTCAAACAGGGTCTTCCAAAAATCACAGGATTTTTAAAAAAAAAACAGGAGTTCACGGACAGATTGCATGACTTGCATACATAAAATGAAGCTTTTCAAATGAAATAATGTTCTTGCAGTTCTCCGAGTTTCTTTGGTGCCGACACGTTTTATACGAGTTGTTCCCTCTCCACATCCCAAAGTCAATTTAACAGAACTCTCTGATCACTGCAATGGGAGCGCTTGTGAGTCACAGCTTGTTGAATTGATCCTCAACAAGAGACTCAATCCTGACTCGGTGAGGGCAGTGACTCCTGATTATTACCTCTGCTGGACAGGCCACAGCCATCTCATTTACACAAATACACAACGATTTCTTGCTCTTTTGAGGAATGATAGCAGCGCCGAGCCAGCTTTGGAGCGCCGCTCTGTGTCCTTCAATTTGTTTCTTTCTCCTCTTTTTTCCCCATCTGTGCGTTTGTGATCTGTCGTGAACCGAACAGCGAGGGTGGGGGAGGACTGCGACAAATTCAAATTCAGCCCCTGCAGCAGCGCATCACTCTAATTGATCTTTTATCTCTCAGCTGCCTTTACCTGTCAGGTGACAACTGAATACAACAAAACAGGAGATAATCGAATGAATGGATCAAGCAGGAGATTTTAGGGAAGATTTGTGTCATCTGAAGAGCTCCTGTCAGAACACCCACAAGCTTTGGTACATACACCTCATAGTTGTGTAGTAGTGCACATCATAGTGCAGCAGACGTTTATTTATCAATGTAAAATATCACAAGTGAAAGATTGAATGCTGTTTCCAGACAATAAACTTTTCTTTTTCTTTAAACTCAAAATATAACTTGTACTTACATGTCAATATAATTAATGGAAGCACTTAAGATAGAATGCAGCTATGTAGTTTTAATGTTAGGACCATGTCCGAATGATTCAATTCAAAAATACTTTATTAATCCCAAAGGGAAATTAACTGTTGTTGTAGCTCATCGTCCTGGTTTCATTTAGTGGATCCGAAGAAACTGGCTGCAGAAGCTGATCCGTCCACCTGGATCCAGACCTCTTGGTCTTCTTGGGCAGCAGGACTGCCTGCATGCCGGGCAGAACTCCTTCTCGAGCGATGTCCACTCCTCCCAGCAGCCTGCTGAGCTCCTTGTCCCTGTGGATGGAACTTCGGGTGTCGAGGGATGATCCTGGTCCTCCCACTGTCACAAGCCGTGTTTCCCACCACCTCCAAGATCTCTGCGGTCACGCACTCGAGCACTGCCGCCAGGTAGATGGAAATGCATCCATGACACCTCTTTTTCAAATCACCTGGGATTTGGAGTTGTAGCTGAGGTATTATTTGAGCGTTTGAGATGTTAATCAGCTGGTCCCAGTTGTAGAAAACCACCTTGTTTTTATGGTTACGCATCATAACAAATGTCCAAAAGTAAAAGAGGTTTCAGTAAAAATCCTTCCAGCTGCACAGCATCCGATCCCAGAGGAAATAATCAACCAAAAAAAAAGAGATTTACATCCAGAAAAAGAGTTAAGGTTTTCAAAAGCAAAATTTCAGAATTAATGTAACAGAGCTACTCCAGCATGCAGCCACCCCGAGCAGCGCAATGCCAAGGTGTTATGATGCTGCCACCACAGGTATCACATGGGAGATTGTTTCCATAACTTTCCATGGTCGTGGTCATGGCCTCGGCATGACGCTAACAAGGCCAGTCCTGCTTTAAACTTTCAGTGACCAAACAATGGGAGCCCTACGTCACAGATACACGACCACCACGGTGATAAACTGCCACGACCTCGCTGCAAAGGATTAATGCACGCTCATAGTCCTCCATGATCTTTGTGAATGTGATTTTACATCATAGTGTGGGTCATCTTCCACTGTGAACGGGGCATTAAGAACATGAGAAACACCCAATATGCACTCGTTTTCTCTTGAAAACCTTTTTTAAAATTGAAACCTATAAACGTGTTGTTTTGTGACATAAAGAAAAAGATGCAACAGATGCTTTCTGCTTCCACTTTGATATGCCATAACTAAATACAGATAATTTTTAATTGACGACTCAGTTTCACAGAGTAAAAACAAAGTAGCTGCCACAAAAGTGTGTTTATTATGACTGAAATCATAAAGTTTTACATGCAACAATGGATTCAAAGTTCAAATATCTATGGTTAAGAGCGTGAATTAAGTCTCCATATTATTTTGTTATAAACTGTGAGGATTTTGTGCGAGTGTGTGGTGTTTTGTGACCACTGTGTTTTCCAGCTCCTGCACAACTGTCCTCTATCCCAATCACCCCAGGTGTTCCTCATTGTCTATCACTGGTGTTCCTATTTATTGAGTCGTTGCACCTTCTTATTTGTCCCTGGTTTGTCCATCTAGGTGTCATGTTCTGTTTCTGCTCCTCTCGTGGTCCCCTCCCGACATATATGTTTTACCATTTTTGTTGATAATAATAAACATTCTTTATTTTATCCACGAGTTTCCGAGTCCTCTCTGCACCCTGGGTTCTACCTCATGTCAGATTATGATATAAACTGTCATTCTTCATTTCAATGTTCTCAGAACGCCTCACTGACGGTTTTAAACCCCAAACACAGAAGCACTCTTGCTTTAAGGGTTTTTGAGATAGAAGTGATTTCAGAGAAATTATTATAAACTTCAAAGCACTAAGAACGTGAAATAATTTAGGATATGTCACGGTTAATTGAAGGTGTCTTGTTCAATGGAGGAAAAGCTAAAACTTTTAGTCGTGAAAGAGAAACGGCATGTGCTGGCCTCAAACATCAATCTATTTTCTGTCTACATAGCAAGCAGCTACACTGCATGTTGGAATTTTAACATGAGTGTAGAGCTGTCATTTCTCATACGAACCCAGAGCCTGACCCCGCCCAACCCGGATTAGGGCTGAGCCATAATAATGTGCTTAATGTGCGGGTCATGTCGGTGTCGGGCTTTTGATTGCGTTAGCGAACGCACGCGTCTGACGGTCCAATTATATGGCAACATGGCTTGCCATACTATCACCAGCCGCACGCGGACATATGACCACGCGCTGACCAGCCTTGAAAAAAGGTAAAAAGTTCAGTTAAGCTTCAGACGGACTACTGCCAGCGATCCATCAGCCCAAATGGACGTTCATTCCTCAGTGGACGCGCATGGCCGATGACCCAAACAGGTGAGATTACAAAATATCCGACATGTCAGAGCAGGGTCTGTGTCTGAATAATGCAGAGTGCAGACAGAAGCAAGGACTGAATGCGCTTTGACGGCCATGAAAGGACAAACACCTCCTCAGCTCCGATTTTGTGCCCCCTTAGCCGCACGCGTCTGCCAACCGTTAATAACTATATAAACAGTCAAAGCTTAATTACAAATGTTGGGGGGCGGGGTTCTGGTTCGGACCTGTTATTACTATTAATTTGTCCGGTCGAGTGGGGTTCAAAAATAATGTCTACAGGCTGGGGCTGGGTCAGATTTTTTTGGCCCGAATGTAACGCTATATGTGTGTGACCAAATGCAACACATCCTGACAAAACTGCCCTTTGGAGAGAACGTAGTCACTCGAACAAAACTAGTCTCCACAAATTCAATCAAACTTTGCTCCGTCTGCGCAGCATTCTCTTGTTTCTATGTGTCACCGAGCTTCACCAACACCAGTCTCAAACCAGTTACTGAGCCTCTTCCTGGTGGGACTGGGTGCCACGAAAGTAAGAAAACATTTAAAATCCAGTGCACGCTATGGGTTTAGGATGCGTTTAACTGGGAAAGGTCATGAAACTAGTTGGATGTTTTTTACTAAAATGGCACAACGATGAACTCTTACGTTTCTCTATTATTGTATATTTTCTGTGGTGCCGTGCCTCAGTGCATGAACTTCTACAGTAATGTCCCTTTATCTTTTTCCTGACAGTTCTAAGGAGGAAAGCGAAGTCTGGAGAAGACGTAGACAGAGGATTGTCCAGCCGTGACCTCTCTGCTCAGTTTGCCTCACCCTGCTGATGTGAGGAAGGCTGACAACCTGACCCGGAGCCGAGCCACTGGAAGGCCAACGGAGTCATTTGAGGACCGGCCTTTTTCTTACGATGAAATAAAAAAAAAACTTATCTTGTTCCACTTTTTGCTGTTTTATTATTGAAAATAACCTTATGTGACAGTTCTCAGTAGCTGCTACACAAGTTTCCATTTGACGTTTTCATGAACTCATTCCCTCGTTGCAGGTAATCAGCTGGTGAAAAACAAATTCTTCATCAGAATGAAGTCGTCTTGCTCCTTTGAAGATGCATTCATCAAATCATTGAGTGAGCAATTCTACTTATCTATTTAACATCTAAACTGTTCATAGACTTCCAAGTTAAACTGAGTGAATCTGATCTGAAAGTGAACATTTTAGTCATCTAACCTTGTTCAGATCTAGTTGAGAGCGGCAAGAATTAACAATGGCTCAGAAGTTGGGAGTCCAACTTTAGACCTTCAACTTTCAAGTGATTCTTGATTTCTATTGAGTTGATTCAACAGGGAGATGTGAACATTTTCCACCATCTGTGATACACTTCAAGTTGCTGCGTCAAATGTCTTTTATTTATTAATTTTTTGCAAAGATGTACTTATTTCTGTTCTTTACGATGACCCAAAAAGGCACGCTAAGAAAAATAGTTGAGCACAAGTTCAACTAAGATTAGTTACGCTATGACCTCCCTCTCCCCAGTGACACTTTCCAGCTTCTCCTGGAAGCGTTCCCACAATCCCTCCAGCAAATTCTGGGTCTCTTACCAGTGGGACTTGCCTGGAAAACATCCAAAGGGACGCATCCAGGAGGCATCCAAATCAGATACTACCTCTACTGGATTAGTTATGCTAAGC